GCACATATGCGGGCCAATTCGGGCGAAAGTGTACCACGTGTGGCACGGGAATAGAGTGGAAACCACTTCCCCTTGATAAGATTGGCCTGAAGGTTTGTAATCTAGTAGCTACCCCTCTATCAACATAAGAAAAATTGGCCTTGACAGAGTGTGGGCTATTCGTTGGAGAAGATTCCGCTAGGTACATAAGTATATGCAGAGTGGCACACTATGACCCATAGTTTCATTTTTGGAGGTAGTATGGCCATTAAATTCAATGATGACGTTGGCCACTATTTTCAAACGAAGAAAGGATTGCCACAAGGTGACTCATTATTACCCACGCTATTCAATATAGCGGCGGATATGTTAGCGGTCATGATTGAGTGTTCCAAGGTTGATGGCCAAATTGATGGGATAATGAATCATCTAGTTGATAGTGGTCTCTCTATCCTTCAATATGCCGATGATATGGTTCTCTTCATGGATCTTGACCTTGAGAAAGCAAGAAATCTGAAGCATTCGAGCAACTCTCAGGCCTTAAGATCAGTTTTCAGAGAAGTGAATAATTTGCTTTGGCGAGGCTCAAGACGAGGCCCGCATGTATGCTAACCTGGTCGGATGCGGGTTGGGCCAGCTTCTGATAGCATATTTTGGGATACCGATACATTACCGGAGACTCACAAATGCTGAATGAAAACACGTAGAGGAGAGACTACAAAAAAGATTAAGCAATTGGAAAGTTAAGCTGTTATCTCTGAGTGGAAGATTGGCACATAAATTCAGTACTAACTAATACAGTACTATATATTATTTCTTTCTTCCACTTGCCAAAAGGAGTTTTACATAGATTGAATTGATTCTGATCAAGATTCTTTTGGCAAAGAGATAGCGGGAGAAAGAAATATCGACTGGCTAAGTGGAGTGTGGTTTGTCGTCCCAAAGACCAAGGTGGGTTGGGCATTCATGACCTTGAGGTTAAGAATAGGGCCCTCCTCGGTAAATGGTTGCTTAAATTACCGACGGAATATGGTGTATGGCAAACCCTCCTAAGGAGAAAATATGTGAGTTCCAAGGCGATGACCCAAGTATACCGGAATCCTGGGGATTCTCACTTTTGGGTGGGTCTAATGGCTATAAAGAAATATATTTTTCGCTATGGATCCTTCTCGATTAAGAACGGCTCGAAAATTAGATTTGGGGAGCCAGTACGAGGGAAACCCCTAGTGTAGCGTGGGTATACACCTACCAGTAGCATGGGGCCCACGCTACTGCTAGGCGCTACAGCTAACTTTTAGCAGTAGCGGGGTACTTACCCCACGCTATTGCTACCCATACGTATCAGTAGCGCGGGTCCACCTAGCGCTACTGCTAACTAGTTGCAGCGTGGCTATGGAACCCGTGCTACTGCTACTCCATTACCCCACGCTACTGCTAAGATTTTCTGTATTTTTTCTTCTATGTTTTTACACTATAATTGTACAGGTTTTATACAATAGCAACATACACATACATTGAAACTATATGAGACAAGAATGTCTCATCGTGGTCATCATCATCATCATCAAAGTGGTACAACATAGTCTCATCATATCATCATCATCATCATGATCCAACACAAATGATGTCTCATCATCATCTCGAAATAGCGATACAAGTTATCACATGTCTCAAATACATGCAACTACATGATCATCACATACACATGTTTCATTATCTATCTAAACTATGATATACAAGAGAAGAGCGAAGACAATGAGTAAGAGCGGGATTATGTGGTAGTTCTTGAGGTGTCGGTTCTGATTCCTCTTTCACGCTAGGGCCACAAGACCCTCGCTACAACTACTAGGTTAGTTCTAGCATGGGGCTTATACCCAGCCCTGCAACTATGGCTCGACCCAGGGGTACCGTGGGGCCAACTTAGCAGCAGCGAGGGATGGGCACACCCGCGCTACTACTATCCTGTACCAGTAGCGCGGGATTTTGACCCTCGCTACTTCTACTTAACAACAGCGTGGGGAACTTACCCACCGCTACTGCTAAGCATCTACCTATAAGGTATTTCCTAGTAGTGAGGATAAGTGACTAGACAATGCTACACTCTAGGAACAATATCCAACTCTATACAACATTGTGCGTCACAAGGGAGATATTATCGCCACAGTTTTGGAATCATTTCCGCCAAATGTGACGTTCAGAAGAGATTTAATTGGACCAAGACTCCAATCGTGGAACTTGATGCTACAACGATTGTCTATAGTGCAATCGTCACATGGGTTCAATGTATTTTATTGGAACCTACATGGTAATGGAAAACTCACAGGACAGTAGAGATATGTACGTATTTCCCTCAGTTAAGAACCAATGTTATCAATCTAGTAGGAGAACCTCGTTAGCAGCACTTGCACACAAATGACAAGTCCTTGCAACCCAACACGCAAAGGGGTTATCAATCTCTCGACGGTTGAGAGAAAGATTAAATTGTATGTATTTGATAGATATATTGGACAAAAATACAAAATAAAATAAATAAAAGAAAAACACAGCAAGACATTTTTGGTTTAAATATATGATAAAAGATAGACCTGGGGGCTATAGTTCTCACAGAGGCTTATCTCAAGAAAATAGCGTACGGTCGGTAAGCAAATTACTGTTGGGCAATTGATAGAAAAGTAAAGTTATGACGATATCCAAGGCAAAATCATATATAGGCATCATGTCTGAGACAAGTAAACCAAAATGATTCAGCATCTACTAATATTACTCCACATATCGACCACTATCCAACATGCATCTAGTGTATTAAGTTCAAGGAAAAATGGAGTAACGCCTTAAGCAAGATGACATGGTGTAGACAAGATAAACTCAAGTATGAATAAACCCCATCTTTTTACCCTTAATAGCAATGATACATACGTGTCATGTCCCCTTCTGTCACTGGGATTGAGCACCGTAAAATAGAACCCATTACAAAGCACCTCTCCCATTGCAAGATAAATCAATCTAGTTTACCAAACTAAATCAATAGATAGGAGAGAAATATGAAGCTATAGTAATCATGCATAAAAGAGTTCGGAGAAAATTCAAATAATATTCATGGATAGATCTGATCATAAACTCACAATTTATCGGATTCCAACAAACACACCGAAAAAAGTCATTACATTGGATAGAATTCCAAGAACATCAAGGAGAACATTGTATAGAAGATCAAATAGAGAGAAGAAGTCATCTAGATACTAACTATGGACCCGTAGGTCTGTGGTAAACTACTCACGCATCATCGGAAGGGCAGCAAGGATGATGTAGAGCCCCTCCATGATCGAATCCTCCTCCGGCAGAGTGCCGAAAAAGGCTTCCAGATGGGATCTCTTGGTTTGGGAACTTGCAGCGCCAGAAAAAGTATTTCATGGACTCCCCTGTTGGTTTCATGATTTAAGAGAATTTAGAGGCGGAGTTAGGTCAAAGAGGGTCATGTGGGCCCCACAAGCCACCAGGGCGCGCCCTGGTGCCTCATGGGCCACTGCTCCATCTTCTCGTCCCCTCCCGAAGCTTCCAGGGTCTCTTATTACCTAAAAAATCTCCAAAAAGTGTTGTGGCATTTGGACTTCGTTTGGTACTAATATTTTGTAAAACCAAAAACAAGCCAAAAAACAGCAACTGGCACTGGGCACTAAATTAATACGTTAATCCCAAAAAATAATATATTGTTGCTTGAAAATGTATATAAAACATCCAAGTCTGATATTATAATAGTATGGAACAATAAAAAGTTACCGATACATTGAAGATGTATCAGTATCTTCGTCGTGGAGTCATTCTTATTAAAGAAAACCTTAGAGTAATTGGCATGGAAGT